GATCGATTAATTAATAACGACGCCAATTCCCTCTTCTCTTTGCCGGCAGGAGCATGGTGGAACACGGGATCCGAATAATTTATAACAAAATCCCGCGGAGAGGAACGCGCACCCGAAAAGAAAAAGTCATCTTACACGGGGATTTCACGGAGGGGCGGGTGTATAAGCGGTACGGTACAGAGTTAAGGTACGGGTAAGATACAGGTAAGGTACACAAGATGCAACATACGAGGTACACCTGGGTCAAGATTACCTTAAGGTACCCCCCACCGACCCCCTCGCTCGACCGCGCGCGTAACTTGTCTTCCTCGTTATAGGCTCACCGTAATTAACTGCATAATGAAAATCGAGATATGTGGTCGTCCTAAAAATGTTAATGCTCACCGCATCCTGCAGAGAATTACGTAAATGCATGGCCAGGCTGACCCGATTGGCCGATTTCTTCCGGCGTTTCCTTGAAAAGCAAAAATTAAACGAGAGAGAGTGAAAAAAATTCAATAAACGCCGCGAAATCACGTTTTACAAGCGCTGCCCTTTGGGCTGATAAGAGAGATAAATTCGCTACGGCGAAACGCGAGAGGAGGTCATTCGTGACCCTATCTCCTGAGTCGTTACGTCAAATGGGGAAATAGATTTTATTGGCTGATAAAGTACCGCAGCTCGGATTATTTATCGAGCCCGACCGCGAACGTCGATCACCGCGGTCGTATTTATCGAGCAAACCCGATAAAAGTGAAATGACGGATGGCGGAACGATTTCGATTAGAGGACGTCGCGATATTTTTTCCACCTCGAGGGAAAATTCCCTCGTCCTTGTTTCGAGGAGTTGCGAAAGACGTGTTGCATGGGTTTCCGGGCGGTGCATGGGAAAAGTGCGACAATACCCCGAGGTGTGAGGCTCCTTGGTCTTATCGGAAAACCTGCACTTGCACCTGCACGTGTACGCGCGGTGGAACATCGCAACGAGCGCATGTCCTCGATAATTGGCTATCGAATCGGATGCTCGATCGTGGAGTTGCATTGACTCCAGCCCGGTTCTACATAATCGACGACACGTTGTCCAAGTGCACGTAATACGGCTCGAATTACGTGTACATGGACCAGGTACCTCCGCCTTGTTCGCAAGACTTGGCAAATAGCCGCCGCGTCGACCACCGCGATTTTCGAGATAAATTTGTCGAGATCGTTTTACACGATCGGCCTTTACGCCCTTCACCCGTCAAATTCTCCATTTATCCGAGCAAAACGACGGAAAATCATCGATTTGCCTCAAATAAATCGTTATCAATTGCGGGGAATTTTTAAAAATCCCTGATTCGTGGGATCATGCTGTGTTACATATTTAAAAAATTGTTTATCAATAAAAAAACTGTACGTACATGCATTTTCTATTTATTCGAGGTGGGTATATCTGGTTACGGTATGCAGGAAAAATCGGGTCGCCGTAAAGTGTCGGGCAAGTGCAAAATTTCATGGTTCTGAAATTCCTCGCGTGCTTCCCGGTCGTCCAAGTGAGTAATCGGTCCATTAAGTGAAATCCATGAACGCCTCGAAAGCGTTATCAAGTCTACGTGGTCATGCATAGCAAGTGCGCGAGTCCCGCGAGAACTGCTCTCTGATCTTGCGAGAATGGAAAACATCGGTGAGCCCTCCGAGAGAGAACGGGCTTTTCTTTTTCATTTATTTTTTTTTCCCGCTTTTCCTTCGCCACGAGCGGCCTGGGCGATTACGGAGTGGCACTTTGGCTCGCTGTTTACGGCGTGCAAAGGTGTACTTCGTGACCTGCTACACGTCTCTTGTAGAGAAACAGATCGCGAAAATGTCAGTTCCCACTGACGAGCGAGCGATCGAGTCGTTCACTTGCAATCGTTGCGGCGTAGGGCGATTACCATAAGTCGACATGCACGCCTTCAATTACTACGGCGCTCGTTACGCTTGCGCTAGCTGGCTCGTTATTGAAACAGAGTGCGAAATTTTCAATTTGCCTTGATAATTCAGAAGTAAGATCCCCTAACGAGTATATCTCGACTCATCACCTAAACACGAGGGAATGTTTACGGGATTTTTTTCCGACCCCGCGTGAAAGCTGGGGGGTATCCTGCCGTGTAATTTCGGAGGAAAAAGAAATGGCCACGCGTCTTCGGTGTCGCGACCCGAAAAAAAAATAGCCCGAGAGTTCCTTCGGGGAATCATCTCGGCAGTTAGGGTGCAATTAAAGATGGCAAACGCCACGACACCGGCCCTTTTTCGGGGCCCCCTTCGGGCCATCAACGGCACATTAGTTACCGACCGTAAAGCCGAACTATTTGCGAGCGCCGCAGCTGCAGCCTTCCTTTCGAGATCTTTCGCAGGTGCCCGCGTTTTCCGGCCGAGAAGGCCCAGAAAATTGCGTTGGAAATGGCGGACCTCGTCATTTTCCCGGTCATCGTTTACGGATTTTGTCTCTCTAATTAAAGGTCCCCGCCGATGCCCACGACTGCGACCGCTCGGCAGGGCTCGAGAACGATGTCAGAGTTTTGTTCTAAGGAAAAGGAAAATTTCCGGCGAATTTTCGAGCCGCAATTCCGAGGCCAGAGAACAACGGAGCGACGTGGATCGGGCCCGGATAAGATGCGAATCTCCAACGTGATTCCAACTCGTGTACCTCCCTGCCATCATGCCGCGGACATCAATTTCTCCCTTAAATCGCCTGTTCCAATCTTCCTAACGTCTTAATTATGCCGAAGATCCGCCTTTTGGGCCGCTTCCCAAATTCGCGGATACCATGCATCAGGCCCATTAAGGCCGCCAGACGGGGAACCGAAATGTCGCCCAGGCGTCGAAGTCTCCCGGCCGGGCGAGGATTTTGTATTAATTTCGGTTGGGCAAGCGTTTTGCAAGAATTTTACGAGGCATTGTGCAACCCGTGCATAAGCTGGATGTTGCTCTTACTTCACGGCCTTACTAAACAGGCCCCGCAAATAGACAGGTAGAAGTGTTCCCAGAATCTGGGAGATCGGCCAGTAAGAGGAGGGAGGTTTGCGGAAACTCGATGATGTCCATGGCAATTAATGTAAGAAAAAGGGGAAAATAAAAAGAGGAAAAACCTTCTTACCGCAAATCTGCACATGGCGGATTGGGGTGGAGTGTCTGGTACCTCTTAAGGACTCTTAATTCATTTATATAAGAGTTTTCCAACCGCTCCATAAAGCTTCGCTCGAGGGATTCCGTCGTCTAGAACGCGCGGTTAACGAGGGTCGCACGATCTCCTTTGTCGTGGACAATTGCGGAAATTGCGGAAACCGGTAGCCACCTCGACAACCGTAGGTGGGTGTCAACATCGTGGGTGGTATCTCTTGCGATCGAGTATCCTTTCCGATGGCGTTCACGTAACGCGAACTCGTTTTCAGAAATAATCCTGGATGGACATTTCGCGCTTTCGCTTCTTGACGCCGACTCGTCGCCAGAACGGAGGCGGAAAAAAATTATTAATAAAAAAAGGAAAAAGTGACGAAAACCGGAATTCGAGTACAAAGAATTTCCAAAATGGACGAACGAAAACCTTGCACAATCGTCCTGGTAACCATCTATCGGTGTCACGGTTCTTTACTCGCGGTATTTGTACACGCGGGAGGCTCATTAACATTTCTACCATTTTTATTGCGTACAGACGCAATCCGTGGAAAAGTGGCATACCGTAGAAAAGTACTCTTCGGATTCACGCGCGGGTGGCCAACGTAAGCAAGGCGCAACACGTAAAAGTTTCCAATTATAACGCTTGCCGTGGCATGTCGCTTAAGGTCCGCGATTTAAGACCCACATTCACTCGAGGTCGAATCTTGCAAATTGTGACCCCCCCCCCCCCCGCAGCGAGAGAGGGATTGCATAATTTGAGGGATCTTGCATCGACGCGATGTCGTAACTCCAGAATTAAATGAATTAAAATGGATGAGAATAAATGAAAAATAAGAAAAATCAAATAGTACACGGTAATCGACCCTTCATGAATAGTCCTGCAATTGGCACAAGTGGATTTGCGTTCAGCACCCATAAAAAGGGTAGTCACTCCACGTCGAGTGCATAACGTGCGTCCTCAAAGACATGACGCATGTAACGCTTGACCAGTAATTAATCGTTAAAACGAAGGGGTGTATCGCATTTCAAGATCAAAACGAGCTTGACACATGCGAGCAAATTAACATACGACGTTAGATATTCAGCGGGCGAGTCGCGCGTTGGCAGTACCTTGACTTAATAAATTGCCTATACGTCCGATGGCAGAGTTCAGATTTTCTGAACAGGCGATTTTACCTTTTTCTTTTTTTCATTACAAGAACCGAAAAATCTTGGTTTTAAGCAGGCTAAGCCATGGTTTTAAATCATTGATAGCAAAGTCGCGCCTTGTAGGAAGTCATGTGAAGTTCTTTCGAATTAAGGAGTCATGAACCAGTTCAGATTTTCTAAACAGGTGATTTTACTATTTTATTTATATTGCAAGGAACAAAAAGTCTTCCTTTGACGCGAGCTAGGCCATGGTTTTGAATCATTGATAGCAAAGTCGCGCTTTGTAGGAAGTCCCGTGAATCTACTTCGGATCAAGGAGTCATGAACCAGTTCAGATTTTCTAAACAGATGATTTTCCTATTTTATTTATATTGCAAGGAAGAAAAAATCTTCATTTGAAGCGAGCTAGGGCATGGTTTTGAATAATTGATGGCAAAGTAACGCCTTATAGGAAGTCTCGTGGACCTCTCTCGGGTCAAGGAGTCATTAACCAGCCATCAACGGCGATCCAGAAGCGATAATTCCGATCTATCGGATAACACGCGAGATCGCGAGAGTGCTCGATCCTTCCCAGGCAAAGTGCTTCTTTCGCTTTTCGCGAATGTCGGACGCGGGAGAAGCGCGTAAGTGTCGAGCGAGGAGGTGCAGGGAAAGTGCTCGGGCCATTATGCCGTCCGGTATATAAAGCTGGAGGTAGAAAACGAGGCAGTTCAGTCAGTGGTTAAACGCCACGCTAAAACACGCGCGAACTCCAAAATGAAGTTTAAGGTAAGGCCCGGGATAAGTGGCCCGAAACGGAAGTGCTCGCATCCGGTAGCGTTTCGAGGAAGTCGTTCTCGATTTCGAGATAGTGGGTTGACAGGAGGGAAAGTAATCTCAGTGCAGTCCGGACGCATAGAAAGAAGCGTCCAAGAGTTCGGGGTCATTAAATCGTTCGATATGAACTTGTGAATTTTATCCTGTTCCCTAAAATTCGCAGCTTCAAATTGAACGACTCAAGCCCTACGAGATGTTTCATCTCAACGCTGTTACCCCTACCGGGTGACAGGGTTCGACGAGCCATCTCAAAACAGCTCTCTCGGACTGTTCTACTCCAGTGACAATTTCCGGCAAAAGCCCACGAATGAATAAATTAATTTCGGCCTTCACGAGTAACGAGATTCTTTTTTCTGCCCTAGATCTCGATCGTCCTGGTGGCGTTGGCCACGGTCGCCTTCGCCAAAGAGGAGCAGAAGGAGGCCTCGAAAGAGGCGCAGGAAGCTTCGTCAGCGGAGAAGAAGACTGAGAAGAGAGGTCTCCATCACAGTTACGGGAACTATGAAGGTGGCGGTGGAGGTCTAGGATCCTATGGAGGTAGCGGAGGTGGCGGCGAGCATGGTCACGAGCACGTCCAGCACGAGCACGTTAAGACGATCACCTTGATAAAGAAGATCCACGTGCCGTACGAGGTGACGAAGCACGTGCCCTACCTGGTCGAAAAGCATGTGCCCTACGAGGTTAAAGTCGGCGTGCCGCAGCCTTACACGGTCGAGAAGCACGTGCCCTACCCGGTTAAGGTCTTCGTCAAGGTGCCCGTCCACGTGCCGCAGCCCTACACGGTGGAGAAGAAGGTGCCCTACGAGGTTAAGGTCCCTGTGGACAAGCCGTACGAGGTGAAGGTCTACGTGCCTCAGCCCTACACCGTGGAGAAACACGTGCCCGTGCCGGTGAAGGTGCCCGTGCCTCAGCCCTACACGGTCGAGAAGCACGTTCCCTTCCCCGTGAAGGTTAAGATCCCGGTACCGCAGCCCTACCCGGTGGAGAAGCCAGTCCCCTACGAGGTTAAGGTCCCGGTCGACAAGCCCTATCCCGTGCACGTACCCAAACCTTACCCGGTCACCGTCGAAAAGCCCTATCCAGTGGCGGTAGAGAAACCCGTGCCCTACGAAGTCAAGGTCCCGGTCGACAGGCCCTATCCCGTCACCGTTGAAAAGCCCTATCCAGTCGAGGTTAAGGTCCCCGTGCCTCAACCCTACACGGTCCATAAACCCGTCCCCTATCCCGTCGAGAAACCCGTGCCTTATCCCGTTAAGGTCCCCGTTGACAAGCCCTACGTAGTGGAGAAGGAGGTGCCCTACCCCGTTGAGAAAGAAGTACCTGTCCCGGTCAAGGTGCCGGTCCCTGTACCTGTCCACGTGAAGCACGAGAGCCACGGATACGGTGGAGGTTATGGGTCCAGCGGCTATGGCTCCAGTGGAGGTTACGAGTCCAGTGGAGGTTATGGGTCCAGTGGAGGTTATGGGTCCAGCGGCGGTTATGGGGCCAGCGGAGGTTATGGATCCAGTGGAGGTTATGGCTCCAGTGGAGGCGATTACGGATCCCATGGAGGTGGATACGGAGGCGAGTCTGTCTCCTACTCGCACCATCGCCGATAATACCATCCCCGCTTCCGAAAACCAAATTTGGATCCTCGGGGAATATTGAAAATATTTTCGAAATTCCTCGATCGTCACGATGATTTCGTCTTGTGCATGCAGCCAAGCATTGAGAGAGATGGGGATGACTTCTTGTATAACAATTTTGGAAAATGTCGACAATCTGGGAAAAGGATTTCCGGGTCGCTCGTTCGGCCAGTCTCTGGATACCATAACGCCGCTACCAAAGAACGATGGATTTTCCACGGGATTTTGCAAAATTTCACAAACGACGCGTGATGCGTCCCACTTTACCGACTAAATGACCACTGCCCAATTGTACAGTTTTTTAAACGCGAAACGAGCGACTATGAGCTAGCGGGATCACGACTGGACCGCGAAAATAAGGAAAGCCTCCTTCTTTCCTTAAAGTATTCCTAAGTAATAAGAAATCGCGGAGGCTTCCCTGAGATTTTCGCACCTCGAAGCGTTTGCCGATCTGATGAGCCTCTCTTGCGTGTAGATATATATGTATATTACTGCGAAGTATTAGTAGAACCGACGCCGTACTCACTCAGAGGGGCTGAATGCTGTTACTTTTTATATCAAATACCTTTAATAAATATTTTACCGTAAATCCTTCTTGTCCATTAATTTTAAGACCCATTACCCACCTATATAATTTGACGTTAAAGCCTCTGTAAATAATAACAGCGCTCTTCGTAAAAACTGACGAATGCTTTATAAAATAATTCATTTATTAAATCACCCGATTTTCCTGCCCATTCACGATTAGCTGAGAAATATATCTAATCGGAGGAGAAATGCGTGATGTAAGAGTTGTGAAGCAGGATATTGAGTATTTACAATAATAAAATGTAACGAGACGTGCCAGTACCGCCCTTCTGATCGAGGCGAGGGATATGTAGTGACAAGATCAACTTTCACGAGTTGGCCGGATACGAGAGATCGGATCGGCCGTACGTTTTATTGTAATCGATACCACATAAGTATCATCGAGAGTGATACGGGTTCCGCCGGAGTTTATTCCTGCCCTGTAATTCACTTTCCTCGAGCGAGTGCATAACGTACCGACGAAACGACCGCGTCTCCACATAATGGCACAAAATTTCTCCGTCATGCCACCAAGAGAGCGCACGATTGACATTAAACGAAGCACCGGACAGCGTAATAAAAATTACGTCACGAGGCTCACCACCCAATTACCGCGGTGCGATTGCATGACCGCCGAAACCGTCGAAAGCCCGCTAATTTGCGGTTACGTAGAGCAAACCCCACAAGCCTTCAACGAGATCATACCGCGTACTTTCTCCGGGCCCAAGCCGGGCCATTCGGTGAAATCGGATCCAAATGAAATTTCCCCTTTTCCAGAAATAATCGGCCGGGTTAACACATAATCGGGCCGAAACCAAGTTTCCCCGTTTCGAGAAGTAAGCGGCCCTATTAGCATAATTTTCGTGAGATTCTGTCGCGATCTGATTGCGCGGGCACCTGTAAAAAAGATCAGGATAAAAAATTCAAGAAACTCGTCGGGGGAATTTTCTGAATGAAAATACAATAAAATAGAATAAAATACCAGAAAATACAATAAAATATCATGAAATTCGAAATTCATTAAGAGATTTATTAATCATCGTGAATTTAAGTCGTCGAATTAAATGCGTGTCACTTCGTATATCGAAGGTATATGAAATTGATGGACATTCGAACGGCGAACCGACATTTTGCGACGCCTCGGTGAAGGCGCAATAAATATCTCGCCATTACTCGCCGATTAAATTCAATTTTCGAGAGGCGCGCTTCTCGTGTCCCCGCAAACGGCGACGGAATAATGGCGCGTTTGCGATGCTCGCCGGGCGTAGGATAATTATTGCTCATTAACATAATCGCGCACTCTTAATTGGCGAGGCCGCGGCCGTTCCTGGAGCGCGCTCGAGCGATTTAGCGGGCTATTTCGAGCGAGCCGTAAATCGCGGGAGAGCGTAAGTGCCGAGTTAAAAAGAGACCGGTGCGCCTTCGCCCTCTTCGCTCCCGTTTCCGGGCAAATATTTCCGCCTTCAATAATTCACTACACCCGCCCGACCAGGAAATATCTGCGGCCCGATGCCGGGCAAATATCTCGCGAGCGGCCGCGAGCGTAGCATCGCCCGTTGCAATTTGTGCACATGCACTAATCACAAGCCCCGGCGCGGTTCGCGCGCAGAACGGAAAAATGTCCCTCAATGGACCGAGAAACGCTCCCCAGGATTTTCTCCTTTTCCTGTGCGGGACCTCGAGCGATTATCCCGAGAAATCTCGCAGGACGCGTTTGCGACATGCAAACGGTAAACGCGGCTCTAACGAGGCACGCTCAATTGGCTCGTTTCCGCGGCCTGAAAAAAGCAGAGAAAAAAGCAAAAGTAACCAACTCATGAGAAAAAGAACTAATCCCGCAAATTGAGCCGGTAAGGTGCGACAAGAAAAATCGTGCAAATTAGGGGTGCTCCTAATATCCGTAAAAAACACTTATGAAAATTCCCCCAATTAGAAATATGGAACGACAAGGAAAATCATGCAATCTAGGCGCGCTACCAGTATCCGTAAAAATTCAACTTATAATAATTCCCCCATTTAGAAATTCGTGCCCCCCGGTCGTTGCGCAACTTTCCGCCGTTTCCGTTCAGCGACTTCCGTTAATTTATCGGATACTGTCGGATGTTGCTTACGCGAGTGGATTGACAAATTATGCGCGAGTAGGTCGCGCTATCTATCGGGAGATCGAGTCCGTTCACGTGACGTTCGGCCTCTCGTTTGTATCATTAATCTTAATTGGCGTTAAGGCCCGCGATTAAGGGAGATATGCGCACTGCCATCAAGAAAGCATTACTTTCTCCACGGTTTCTAAGCGCGTGCTCTCCTACGTCGGCACTGCATCTGCAACGAGCATGCTCGATCTCTCGGGCCGCGACTGACCGTTCCACATTTCGTTTCCGTTTCACCTTCACCCGCGACGCCGTCCGGGAGTGGGGCGCGGATCCGGCAAGCCTCGTCCTGGGAAAATGTAATCCTTTGTCACCGGGTAAAAGTGCGAGTGGTCGCTTACGTTTCTACTTCTTGCCGCGATATTTATCAAGGTCGCCCAAGGTGAACAGCGTCTTGAAACGGGCAGTCACGGCACCTTTCTTTCCGTTTCACCGCGGGTTGCGGTGCCCAGGAGGATGACGAATCCGGCCTGATCGTTAAACGGGCAAATTGAGCAGTTTATACAAGCAGTACCGCGGGTCCTGTATTTTCTCCGATGGACGTCGTCGCGCCTCTTAATCCGTCGAAATGAGTTTTCGTGCGGGACTTTCTCTCGAGAAGTAAATTCCGTCAACAGGACCGGTGTTCTTCCAGGAGGATTTCTCAAGATGGCGGCGCCTGGTTCCGGCGAGACCGACGCCGACGTCTTCGACTCCTCGTTTCACCGCTTATACGTCTTCGAATTGACCCGCGACCGTCAAGATCCCAGATCGGAGAGGAATGCAGCGACGAGTTTCTTGACTTATTGCCTTACGATTTCGTCGGGAGCCGATTGAGAGCTCGCGTCTCTTCTCCGAATGGAACCGGTCGCCGCGCGGCGGCCATCTTGGAGCCGCCGTCCTTAAACGGGACATTCCGTCTGTTTTGCGTACAATCGCCTCGTTTCCAGGAATCCCGGCATTCCGGCCCCGCGACGTAAGCTCGCGTCGAGGGAATCGAAGCGTAAAGAGGCGTTCTTGCCCGGGATTCCCGGAGGCACCGGTCATCTCTGGGGCCGGCTCTCGTGAAAGTGAAAAGAATCGCGACGATTCTGCCATGCGTGAATTATGGCCGACGCGCGTAAGTATCAACCTTCTTCCTACGTGGGCTTCTGGCCACTTCCGGTTTTCTACCGCCCCTCTTTCTTCCTCGTAATAAGGAAGCGCCGGCGCACCGACGCGGCCACGATTTCACGGCTAAGCGGAACGATGCCTCCTCGAAATCCCTAATTGATTAAATTAACCACTAACCGTTTCCAAGTGAAACACGAGGGTACGCCGGGCAACGAGAACAACGTTTCCTTGGGACTATGAATATATTCCGTGTCGCAATGTTACCCCGACGAGGCCGATTTGCGGATCACGTGGGCTTGTTAAGCGGTTACTTAACGGCTTTACAAGTAATTCCGCCGCAATTACCGCACTCGAGTTACTCAACAGTTTTGTCCCGCTTTAGGTAAAGTCGTTCTATCGGAGAAAAAAAAAAGAAAAGATCTCTTAGCGGTGCTTGAAATTATTCTCTGCGTCTTTCGAGGCGTCTTGGGGTGGCGTGAACGATGGCGACCAATCCGGCCCGATTCGTTGCGATTCCGGCGCGATTCCGCTTTAACGAGCCCGACAAAGTTTCCACGCCCCTGCGTCTCGCTCGATCCTGCAGGACCTCCAGGCTCTTCCTCGCTCCGGCTCTTCCTCTCCAGCTTCGCAACGGCGCGACTGTGAAGCGGAGGCAATTATCGTAGCGAAACTTGAACGCGGTCCGCAGGAGCGAGGAGTGTCGGCGTCTGATACGACGGGTCGGCTCCCTGGGGATTCTAAGGGACTCAAACGGGACTATCCCCCCGCCCCCTCATCGCAGTTAATTACGGAGTCCTTCTCCGCTCCGGCCGCCGCCATCTTGGCCGCGCCCCACTCGCGCCCTCCTGTCTTCCGCAGACAGCAGGGGATATCCTCGGGATATCCCGGGATATCCCGAATTGCGCCCGATTATCCGAAATACGTCCCTGACGTCGCAGGACAATGGCTCGACTTATTAAGCCGCTCGGACGACCAAATCCCTTCAGATCGGTTCGAGGACTGCGGGAACCACTCGGAGGGTTGCTGGTCGGGACTTACTTAATTTTTTCAAATTTATACTAACCATCAACAAAAGCGACCCGTGTAGAGCTAGAAACGTCAAAAGACGAGGTGACCGGATATTAAGACTCCCTTCATTTTTTTCAAATTTATGTTTTCTACCGAAGTAAGCGTCCCGCGAAGAGAATATCCGAAAACGAGGCTATCGGAAATCGAGAGCCCCTTAATTATTTTCTAATTTATACGTTTCATCGAGAAAATCATTCCGCGTAAAACGAGGAGCGTCCGAAGACGAGGCGAGTCGGAAGTCGAGACTCTCTTAATTTTAAAAAATTCATGCTTCTCGTCGAAAAAAACGTCCCGCGAAGAGCGAGGAACGTCCGAAGACGAGCAACGTTGCTTAGAGGGGTGATTTAATTCTCTCCCAGGAAATTCGGTCTCACTCGAATTCCCGGGAAATTAGGTGAGTTTCCCCCGCGGGGAAGGGAAAAAAAAGGAGCGTATCAATTAAAAGAGCGCGTTCCCTTCAGGAGCGAGCGCGCCCGCCGCTTCCTGGGAACGCGTTCTCCGTTGCGTAACGCGGACGTTCGGACCGCTCCCACCCTTCCGGGTCGGCCTCACCGATCGGACTTTCGGAAAAAGGAACGACGAGGCCCGAGCGCCCCGAGCGTGAAATGAAAAACGACGCAGATAACTCGGACGCACTCGCGCCCGTTGCGCGACGCGCGGAAACGCCGGGCCAACGGAAGTAAAGAATAAAAAGTGAAGGAAAGAAAGAAAAAAAAAAGTAAACGCAGAGCGTCCTCCATTTCACCCTCGGCGTTGACGCCGCGTCACATTTTCGCGCGCGAACTTCGAACGTTTTTCTCTCCTTTTTTTTGCCATCTCTGCGGGAATATAAAAAATTCGCACAAGGCGAAATGCGGCAGTGAAAAGCGGAGGGTGAGCCGGAAGTCCGCAGTGCGTTTTAAGCCGCGTCCGCAATCAAGCGGCGTCGGGGCGGCGGGCGTCCCGGGGGAGTCCCGCGGGAGCGAGCGAATCGTGAACGGGATTGAACGCTTGAAATGGAATAATATCCAATAATCTCGGCGCCGGGAGGACCGGGGGGATAAAAAGGGACGCTTTTATCGGGGCATCGCAGCGCCAGCCATTTCTGGCTCGCTTTCGCCGGCACGCCGGGACGCCTCCGACGCTCGCCAAAATTAATTATTGATTTCGGATAGGCGCACAATTCAGGACGCTTTTAATCGAAACCGAGCCGGCCCTCGCCTCTCCTCGTTTCGAGTTCACACGGGCGAGGCGGCCTTTGGAAAATGGAGCCACTTTAAATTCCCTCCCTCGAAACAATTGCGACTCAAGAACGACCTTAACGAATGCCGTTGATTCGGTAAGAATGGCCTTCCTCGTTAAGAAATCTCCAGTTAAGAATCGCCATTGATGAGAGAATGATTGAAATTAAATTCATGCGAAATATATCTTTCACGCGGCGCGTCGTGAGACTCGATCGAAATTCCAGAATTTCAAAGTCTTGCTCAATGGTGTTCATTTTTCGTGGAATGATAATTTCATTAGTCTGTGTAACGATATTGTTGTTGCAACCCGGATACGGGGTGAAAGCCAAATAAATTTATCGGCGAATCGCCTGGAATGGATAAGCTTTGACGGCGCAATCGGAATATCGTGTCATACCGCTGTTACCGGGGATAATTAAATTACGAACGGCACGATAATGCGGGGTTTCAATGGTAACTGGCGGTGTTACGTGATAACGTTCCTATCGATGCAGTCAAGCTTGCGCCATTATCGCTGAGCATTAAAAAAGGGTAATAAGGTAATCCATGTAGATTAATTAATCCCGTGCTCGTTGAAGCGTTAATAGAAACCTTGGGGCAATCAGTCTAGCTAGTTATAATAAAAATAACGTGTTTATTAGTTAACAACGTTAGGTCTCAGGAACTGTTACGATACGATAGGAACATGGTAGGTTATAGAAATTACATGGTAATGATCGGGTCCTCTTCCTGCAAACTTAGCCACTACCAATGGATGCGGATCTCGTGGTTGGGGCAGAGATGTTCGATCTTTGTCTTGCCGGTTCCTCCCTTAACGCCGGTAGAAGTTCTATTACCTAGATTAGAATAATCAATCCGGGAAAGGCGGTTAAAAAACGTAAATGTTAGTCGGTTAGTGTGCTAAATCAGTGTAAGGGCGGTACACTGACTTTGCACGATTACTCTGGAGGACATGTTGAGACGCCACCCTCACTTTTTGTCTGCAATCGAAATGTCATTACGAAATAATAATGATAACTTTGAAATGAATGACAGGTACTGGGAAAGAAAATAAATATGAGGAACCACCAGGATTCTAAAAAGATTCTTCCTTTTCTGCGATATATTTCAATATTTTTCTCTGCGAATAGACAATGTAGGAAAAAGAACAATGTATACTCTTAAAACGACAGACCCATTGCGTGAATATAAATACTGAGTAAGTATGCAACGTGTCACCCATTTCATTCATGATTTGAGATATTAGTTCGAGCCTAAATAACGATCGAAAACTTAGGCTATGTCTTTAATCACCTCCTGTAGTTCATCTTTGCCGAACATGTGGAACAATGCTTCTGGTGTCATGGTCATCACTTCGATATTGGTACCATTCAATTTTTCCTCCATGACTTGTTTCAATATTGTTAAGGCAGCCGTTATTGCCTCTTTCAATGTCATAGACTACAATAAATTTAGGATGTGGGTACTTAAAATACTATTTTTTAGGATGGAAAAGAATTACGTTCCAGTTGAAAGAGGTATTAAAAAATTTACCTTATGGTAAACTTCTTGAAGCGACTGTTGAGCTCCTTCACTGCCAGACCCGATAGCTTTTGCATCAAACTGCACAAAAGTACCGGATGGGTCCATGTGGAACAATTGCGGACCTTTTTCATCAATGCCAGCAAAAAGTATAGCTACACCGAATGGTCTAGACATGGCACTGCCATCATCGTCGCTATCTCCAAACTGAATCGCTAGGTTTGATACTGCTTGAGCTGCAGACTCAACGGTCATTTTTTCATTATAGGTAAACCAGTGGTTCTGACATTCGACTCTAGCTCTATCGATCATCGTTCTCGAGTCTGCCATTAAACCTGACACGGCGCATCCTATGTGCTTATCGACTTCCACAATTTTCTCAACAGTGGTCGGGACCATTAAAGGTGAAGTGATACGTTTTTCAACAGCTAAGACTACTCCCTCGGAAGTACATATCCCAATTGCAGTCGAACCAAGTTTAATGGCTTCTATAGCGTATTCAACTTGGAACAAGCGCCCTTCCGGGGAAAAAGTATTCACCCCACGGTCATATTCTGAACGTGTCAAGAACATCTGCAATAAACAAACCTAATGTCTCAAAGTACAAGAACCACTTGTAATGTTAGGTTAACAATGAACACATACTAAATCAAGTAAAATTAGACCTAAGACAATAATTGTCAACTTAAATACGAGTTACAAGTAAAGTATAACGACGTAAAAAACCCTGCTATTAAATAATAATATAATGTATCAATTGAAATATAAAGAAAATAGAACATGAACGAGGTTAAGTAACATGACTTTGCAAAACCAAGGATATTGATACAGAATATTGCGGATCTCCTTTTATGTATTAGTTAAACAGTCTACGAAACATTTATTAAACAGTATTACCTTTTCAACCTTTGATTATTGAATGAATAAATTAATTGGAACGGGCCGAAGATCAGTTGTCAGAAACAATGGATTTGTAAAGTGTAAAGTGCCGACTCAGCAGCGTTACCAACAGCGGGACACGAAATACTCTCAGAGTCGCCAAATTAGACCTTGTCGTGACATCAGTCGGCAAAGAGTAGAACTAGTGAGAATGTTTGACACAGCCTTCCATGACACAACAGAGAGAAGATGGACAGAGAGACAGAGATGAGCAGAGATGAGTTGGGAGATTGCTCACGGGCAGGATAGTGAGATCGCATCCTGTGCTGCCCTCTGGTTTCGTACGTTAGCTTTCACCTTTTTTTGCCCCCAAGGGGCAACGAATGGCGGCGCAACGAATTTCTGAAAGGAGCTCGCGCACTCACGATGGCGGTATCATCTACCAGTCGCCGTTGGCAGCTCACGTACATACATACATACATCGGGTGTACATACATACATACATGTGCATGCATACCGAGTGTGAAATAATTTCAAGGAGCGGGCGCCAGAGGCCACCTTTATACGACGCAATGAAATAATTCACAGATATTCTTGACTACCCTCCGAATATATTCATCGGTACAAGAATCGAGTTCAGCAACCTTGGACGTCGATTTGAGGTTAGGAATTTGTTTTCCTGGTCATTGGCAGTGAGTATGACATGTATGCGGTCTTAGTCACGTTTGTGATCAAATAAATTCATTCTTCCGTATTATTATTGAAGGAACTAAGGAATTGTTTGATTATGGCGTACGATTGGTCATCAATTGACAAAAGGATAACAAAGCAGATCTTACAGCGGGATGGATTTACAAAAAAGCCCACAGAGCGTTCAGTCTGTAGCATTCTTATCGATAATCTTCAGGTCACTGGTTGTTTTCCGAACGATTTGGGTAGCAAAGTGCCCAGTGAAATCTTTGATGGGGTATCCTCAAAGACTCTTACACTTGGAGAGGTAAACACGGATCTTGATCGACAAGTTGAGAGAGCCATTTATACTATGATGGATAACGAGCGTAGTCTGGTTACTATAACAGTGCCTCATTTTGAGGAAGGGCAGAATCAAGATATAGTTATAAAATTTGAAATAATTTTACTTAGTCACAAACCATATAAGTCAATTTGGGAGTGGACTCCAAAAGAGAAATATGAGATTGCACTTAAGCACAAAGAAGTAGGTGTACAGCTGTTTAAAGCAGGCAGTTATGTCGATGCTTTTCATAAGTTTAGTAAGGCTTGTAAAATTCTTATAACTTTGGAACCGATTGAAGATTTAGAAATAGATGAAACATTGGTTAACGATATAAATACTTTACGTTTGATGTTGTATAATAATATGGCTGGGTGTCAACTGACTAAGAAGAATTTCGAGCATACGATTACACTTTGTAATAAAATAGTGGCTAAGGAACAAAACAATGTGAAGGCATTGTATAGAAGAGGGACTGCTTACGGTAATTTGAGGGATTTTGAAAAAGCTGCAGCTGATATGAAACGGGTAGTTGAATTAGATTCAAAAAATTCTGTAGCAAGAGAACAGCTTGCTGGATACAACGCGGTTCTGCTCGATGCTAAGAAAAGATTCGAGGGCATGGTGCGAAAAATGTTCAAAACCTAGGTGTGGTACACAGAATAATTAAGATTCAAATAAAATAAGGTATTACGAAGCGAAAAAAAAAATAGATTTCTACCGTTTTGACATATTCCTAAGAAATTTGGGTCGTATAAATGGAATAAAGAAACCACACATTTCTTATAAATACAAAAATATGCATTTATTTCTGCCTAGAATTTCTTATATCATAATCATTAATTTCCTCTCTAGCTATGTTCTGCGTGTCGCTGGATCTCATGTAAACGAGTTTATTATATAGATTAGCACTTCACACGAAGTAAATGAATCTCTAAATAAATTGTGACGAATAACCCTGGACAAACGTTTTACCTCGACATGAAGTAACGCGTGTCCTAACGCGTGAATACACGTACGATTTTTATTACATTCTTCACTGGAAAAGATGCTTTTCTTCTAGTTGGATAATCGTTGTCATACCGGATTGCAATTTAACGAACCACCAAAAAAGTGTTTACATCTCACGAGGCGAACAGTTACGAGGCTTAAAAAATTCACATGGCGTCGCGTAAGCACTTCCATGTTACACGATCACATAACAATGGCGATCGGTGTAATGCAAATAACTAAGGATTTCGTCAATGGCACTTTCGTCGCCGAGTGCCAGCCGACTTGCACTTCGAAGGAACGTTCACGCGAAGCTTATCTGGACTCGAATACGAGGATACATTTGAGTACATTGCATGAGCAGATTGCCGCGAAAAGAGCTATCTACTGATACACTCCTTGCTAAGTGAAGCAAATCGTAGAAATCACGTTTGAGCGGATTACGGCGGACCGCAGCGGTCGAGTTTCGGAATGACTACAAAACTATTCATAGGGAGGTATCTTAACAAAATGGCGCCTCCGTTCGATAACGCGGAGAGAGCACGGCACATCATTTATTAAAGTTCGCACGCGTTCGGTAAACCGAGGACTACCCAAAATATATAATAAATACGTCTCTTGACATTGAGTGCGTAAAGAGCGAGCTGGATGAACCAGAACCTCTCTAAAGAATTAAATCGAAATTGAGCTTCTCGGCGTGACGTTTAAGAAAAACCATCTTTTTAAGTCGGCTCGTAATCGCTGTTCTTCGTAGATGGCTTCCCTTAAAATCTATTGAATTCCCTTACTCAACGCGCTTACGTAAATATTTGAACAACGCAGAGGCCACGGCGTTCCGTTATCGTTCCTCTTCGAATTGCTTTAATTTCCGCGATGTTGGAGTACCATTAGTCGCCTATCGGTTAGTGAAGCTCCCCATGCTCCGTTACTTTTTACTCTCTCCCTGATTCAATTGCCGTTTACACATGGGCTATTGCAGTTCCGCGTATTGCTAACGGTTACTTGTTAAATGTCTTCAGCTATTTCGGTATAATATACTCTCGGCTCTAGCCACTTTGCATGAGTGGATTACTACTTAACTTCTAGCTACACCCTCGCTGCCCCTAGTTCTCTTAAAACGTAATAATAAAAACTCTCCGTGGAAATCTGTTTTATCGTTTTTTTTTTCTTTTCTTTCTTTTCTTTTTCACCTCCTCCACCGCCAACCTACGTCCGATTGAAGCACATCCAAAAACAACGCAACGAGTGTGCAATCGCAGGCATTAAGCGTAAAATAAAATAAAATATAATATGTCTCTTAAGGAAGTAAAATCTATCGCAGTAAGCCGAATTCAGCCGAGGCAGGAATCCCACAGAGAATCGCCAACGGCCCGCAAAAAAAAAAAAATTAAAAAAAATTGACCATTATTTACCCGATTCCATTAATGGAAACATCAACAGCAAGTTGCTGTGCGGAAATACGGCAAGCTTTGCGGAGATGCGAGAAGCTTTGCGGAAATACGGCAAGATGATCGCAATATCGACTTCGCAAAATGCTCGAAGTGTCATCGTGCATTGTTAGCGACTCCTTCCTTGTATACACTGTCGCAATCCATATACAAGTTACTAATTTAAAAAATGAACCACTGCATGCAGCTTTTCTTACAATATTCCGCATGCCCGAAGTCGCGTGGTGCTATTCATTTTAGCTGGCACGTCTCGCTCATGTAAGCTCTGATTTAGTAATAAAAGGATCGAAGAGAACAATAAGAAAAAATAGAGAAAGAATAAAAATCTCAAAAAACAATGCCACTCTCTCCTGAAAGCAAAAGGTGTGCGTCTATCCCTCACGACAATGCAACGTCGTTGGATCGTGCTACAATGACGACGTAATCTTAAGTACAAGAGTTTATTTTTATAACAATATTATATTAATGACCATAGACAGTAATAATAATGATTTTCAACAATCTAACACTGATCCTTAATCGAGGTATACTGTACATACATCACAATCATCTTGAGTTTATAACGCATCATGAGCCACGTGACTTAGCACTGACGCCAAATAAAAATTGATAAAAAAAAACCACCAAAAAAATTGTAATACCTCATTCGTGGTCTGCTCAATTAGTCAAGACCTGTGAAGACCGTAAATAGTCGACAAGTCCGGATATATAATTTAGCTACGCCGAAAACGCGCAAAACCGCTCTTGATAGTCGAACGGGATCGTCGGAAGTCTCTCCTTTTTCTTTGAGCTTCGTGCCTGAGCATCGGGGAGTTTTATTTTTTTCGTATTTCCTTTCTTTTCGGGGATTAGGGGGGTTAGTATTAGGACAACTTAGGCTTGCCATTGACTGTCATTGTGGCATTTAACGTCGTGTTCGTCGCCATTCCAGCAGCCTGTGCCACGGCAACTGATACCGATTTCTCCACGAACTGTTGGTAGAGCGGCTTCATGAACTGAACAGAATCAAAAATTCAATGTAGTCATACACCTCCTCGAATCGACGAATCCCACACTCATACTGGCGAGATTTCAAGAGCTCGTGTAAATAAAATCAATTCCTTTCCGGTGAATTGAACATCTGCGATATGATAATCTTAACGATCACGAAAGTAACAGTTCTGCCAGGTGGATGAAACATGCAACACCTTACACCTGGCAGGGATATCTTTATATAGAACTAAATTTATAAGCGACAATCACAACGACAATCGAAGGGACATTTAACGTGAAGCAAACGTAAAGAAAACGATGTACCGTAAGCAGAAAATGAAGACCATCGCAATCTAATGAACTTTGCTAATGACAACGTTTAACGTTTACGTTAGAGCATGCTGAAACTACTATACCTTTCAGTCTCGATCCGGTTAGTACTCCGCACATGTTAGGGACATAGAGAGAAAGAGAGAGAGAAAGAGAGAAAGAGACAGTAGAAAAAAAGACAGCGAAAGAAACGGTATTAAGGAGAGACAACGACGGAAACCGCGAGTCTTGCTCTTCCACGAGGGTAGGCACAGAGGGGTAGAAATAAACGGACTTACGAAACGCAATCGTACATGGATATAGCGTTGTGAACTACTTTAAGTGCAGGGGAAATCATTCGTAATAACTTAATCTGAAAGTAAGGTAAACCATAAGTAATCGGAGGGAGAGGGGGGTTCGTCGGATCAGATGAAACGGTGTTTCCGCAGGTGAACGTAGAATATGGTACAGGTGGGGATGGCTAATATCGTTACGAAGATGGACAGGATTAGGTATCGCAGTTTGTGAATTAGGCGAGCGCATAGCCAGGCCTGTTGGAATAGAAAATACTACGTGTTAGTCGATTAGTCCGGAATCTTGATTACGATGATCGACCGAGATGCTTGAAGGGTTGGATTAAAGGGCCGGAGCTCTTAAAGGGAGCTCATTTCGGATGTACGAATACACGATCGCTTGTTTTCGAAAGTCCTGTTAAGATTTTTTTTTTTTCTAGAGAATCACACGGTTTGTACATTCGAAATTGGATGAAACTAGAGGTGGTCGCGTCTGTACACGGCGAGTTGATTATTGGTTAGTAACGTCGGAAAGATGGTTTTCGAATATGTTATATGAAAATAATTTTCAGGAGCCCCTCCACCTTCTATGGGGTTAAGGTTTGAGATCCTTTCCTCTATGCTTTGACTCGTGGGACGTCGATTAATTGACCATTAGAAGCGACTGATTAACGATCGCAACCCCTTAGAAACAAGACAGATGGACGACGGATTTCGGCAGCTCTGAGTACTTACATTTTCCCATAACATGCTCGCTAGATCGTCTATTTGCGTGCCCAGCTCTGCAAACTCCCCGCTGTACCTGTCGATCATAATCGAAGTCCTTTGAAGGAAACTCCGTTGCATGTGGAGTGCGCGTGCGGGAAATGAAAGAAACGGTGCGACTAGTGGCGCAACGGAGCATTAAACGGCGCCTAACGTGGAGTAATGACGGTTGGATGGTTTACCTGATGTACGCCCACAGAACCAACGTGAGCAGACCGATGCCCATGACGAGGTTGCAGATGTTGGCAAATGTGTAGAGACCGACGAGGCCGAAAACCCCGGAGAGGATGTACATTGTCACAGCGATCGCGAAAAACACTGCCGGGGTTCGGGCCGCCTTGAAGATATTCTTGCTCTCGTTGTGAGCTTTGAATTGGAGATATGCATCGTCCATGTCCTACGAAACAAGAAAAAATGAGTGCCAATCGATTAAAAATAATCCTCATAATTCAATATTTGTCCTTCGCTCGAGTCCCATTCCCGTACCTTCTGTAATTTCTCCATGTAGGTCAGACTGAATTCCTCTCCTCCCATTTTCCGCTTATTTTGGAATTGATGAAGAGCCTTGTCTACGCATCGCTGATGCTCCGACTCGAGATGTGCCGTTGCCAGGAAGGGTTTCGTCCCTCCGCAAACGCATTCCATCATCTGGAGGTACAGGTCCTTCGCTTCGGCCACAGCCGATAGGTTATTAGCTTCCGCTGTAGCCTGAATGCGAAAACGTCAAGATTTCTGTTCGAACGACTGAAGGCAGAAGTATACTTCAAGAAAATGGAAAGGAAAAATTGAAACCCACCACAAGCATGCTTTTGGGCTCCGGAAGCTCGTCGCCCTTATAGATCTTGATGTAGCTCTTAAAGTACTCCAGCAACTCTTTGGCCAAGACGACCTGACCATTGATCTTTTTGGTCACCAGGTTTTCAGGTGCCAGGAGCATGGGGATTAACACCTTCAGTTGTTCCTTGAATTCCGACTCGATTTCGGAGAGCCTTCCGTCGAATTTTGGATTAGTAGCGATCTTGAGGCCAGGATGAGGCAACAGATAGCAGGATATGTCGGAGAAACACGACGTAATGTGTTTCCTCAGGCTTTGCAGTTCTGGATGCTGTCGGTTGGAGATTTCCAGCCTTCTCTGGAGGATCTTCTTCCCTCCCTCGGCTCCGTACTCGGCCTCATAAGGGTAGCTCCAATCCCTCACCAAGAACTGGAGCCTCTGGAAGGGCGTGCTCCCCGACTTCTCCAGGGCGAGCCTCCCATACTCGGTGAACAACTGAAGGTGCTGGAGGTCGTCCTCTTGGATGTTCTGTGAGAGGTTGTAGATTTGTACCGAGGACACCATCGTGCTCAGGGCGAAGACGGTGGCGCAGTCTCTGACCGTGGACTGGCTGTCGAACGCACCCTGGGTGTCCATTAATATAATGGCGACTTTTTCTCCACTCGGCAGGGTACCTTGGAAGATCTTCGACCACATCAGGATACCCGTGGTGTCCCTTTCCGAGCCCCCTCGCCAGGAAAAGCCTCTCAGTGGCTCTTCTTCGCTGCCCAACCACTCCCCCGTGTCGAGGCCCTGGCCGTACTGCACTCGGGAATTAATTTATTCATTTCAAAAATTATTTTCTGTCAACGATACGTACTCCCCTTGCCGTACTTCGATCTTGGGTCGTAGCCAACGTACCTTGCAGTTCATATAACGGAGGAAGAAGTCGAGTAGGAAACTCTTGCCCTTCCTGAAGGCGCCGGCGACGGAAACGACGACGACGCTGCGGTCCTTGATATCGTCCTGCAACAGGATCTCGGCCAAGGCATCCTCGTCCAGCTCGAAGGTGTGGTCAGGTTGTGCCAGGACGATTTGGATGGGTCTTCCGGAGTCCTCCCCATCGGCTCCATCGGCCCCATTGTCATCCATCGAGAGCCTCTCTATCCTCTCCCGCCTGCCGAGTTCATCTAAAAGATACGAAAACTCAATAAATAATTCTGACCGCTCACTCCTCAGGATTAAACTAGCTGAAAGGACTGTAGGTTTCTCGATAAAAATTCAAGATTCAAAATATTCAATTTCAGGATCCCGGCAAAACGTGAGATAAACGCGTCTTGAGCGAAGCTGATACCTCGGATGGTCTAAAAGCCGGACCTGGACTTTTTCCAAGACTTTTTTTCACTCAAGCCTCTCAGAGGTCAAACCGGAAAGAGGGCAAAATGAAAAGTAAGACTCAGGGGGAGTGAAAAGCGAAAGTCTCGCAATTTAATTCGTCTTTTAGGGTATAATGGCGCCGACCCAGATTTCGCTTATGACGAAAAGGAGGCCTAGGGGGAGGGAAGGAAGCCACGGCTTTGCGGTGAAAAAAGCTCTCTTTTGACGGGGAAGCTCTCGCCTCTTGTGCTCGCGCACTTAACGTCGTCGAGTATTAATTCATGCTCATCGTACATACACGGGACCTTGACCATTGACACGACGAAGCGAGCACGTTCCAAGCGGTAATATGACCATGCAAACCTGACACGTTGTCTTTTTCCGTACGTCACGTATGCGAGCTCGGCGAATCGCCGGCCCGCGAAAAACGAGATAAAAGGATTTACAAAACGGCTCCCGCGCGACGTAATATCATTCCCCGACGAGCCATTTCGTTACTAGGAATCGGCCGAAGTTATGAGTTTCAAAGTGGCCGCCTTGCTCCTTTTTTCTTTTACTCCTGTTTAATCAAACTTCGCCTCCCCTGTCCCCGCGATGCGCGGTGCCGGCCACTCGAAAATCCAGGAATAAAGCGTACGGTCAAAGGAACAAAAATAAAAATACGACAAAACGGGAAAAAAGGAGACGAACCATTCAAGGGACCGAAGTAATTGCCGGCGGGGAACTCACCAAATCTCTCGGCCGTTTTATGCTCCCGCCGAATGCGATTCACGTTCTCGTCTAGGGACGTCATCGTGACTTTCGGGGCTGAAAGCAATTTTGAAAAAGACTGGTTTAAGCTGAGACCGTTTGAGTAAGTGCGAGGATTTCCGCGGAGGGAGAATGTAAAGGTAAGAAATTAAGGGAGGAATAAAATAGAAATATTGGAAACGGCGATGTTGACGGAGCGAGGGGTTTCTGATGGCGGATTGAAAAACTGAAAAAATAAAAATTGAAAAAATTGAAAAAAATCGAAGAACTCAACCGGCAATGGCGCGTCTCGATTCGACAAACAGCGAGTTGTTGACTCAAACAACTTCATTTCCGCGAAATGGAAATATCCCTTATTGACAGCGAATACATCGCTGTCCCTCCGATTTGTCTAAACTCCGGCACGGCCGGTGCTGTTTGCCGTTTTACTCGCTACAATGAGCAACAATTGATGTTTGTCGGGCTGACGGACGGGCAGGGCCGTGTTGCTTCGCTCTCGCGCAAATGAACTGGTTTCATTGGGCAACGCAGGCCAGGAACTCTCCGTGAAACGTACGTTTTGTGTTTGCGTACACTCTGACATTTCAACTTCATCCGCAGGTTTAGCAGCGGCGGGGATTTAACTTTCCCGAATTTCGACGACCCGATGTCCATACAGGTTGTTAATAAGATCAGCCGCGTATTCAGCCAATTTCCTCGTAGTCGAGTCTCGGATATTACAATCGCGATAATCCACCTCACGAAGAAATGCGACACGGATCGGATACAATTGTCCACCGATAAGACGAAGGATAAGTCACGAAAACGAAACCGCGATTTTGCAGTCTGAAACATGGTTAATGCAAGTTTCTGTTTCTTTTTTTTTTTTCCTCTCGTTAGATGATGAATTTCCGGATGTTCTTTCCCACCGTATCTCTGGAAACCCTGTCCTCGCCTCTCGTAATCACCGACCGAGTCCATTTTGGAAAAGCCTTTCACCCTGGCACCCCAAATCCGGACGATCGGATCAATCGAGAGCGCTAATTAACACGGCCGCACTCGCCGATTAATGAACGTTCGAGCTCGACAGAAGGCCGGCTATTTGTCATGGGTCCCCAGTCGAAATCGAAATCGATCTGGGAATCAGACCGCGATTACGTGTACGAGCCTCTCCTCCGCGTTGGGTATCATTTTAATAAACGGGGGAGATAAAATATAAATAAGGCATTGCTGGTCGCCAATTTTCGAAAGGGAGCCGCACTCGTGGCGGACATAGTTTCTAGTTCGATTAACGACTGGGACGTCAGAGGTCGGAAATAGACATTTTTGGCAACTCAAGTATACAAGCCGAAGGAACCAATCCGCGACACGTCCCGGACATGTACCGCGAATATTTTCTAGACTTTGGCATACGCGTCAACTCGTTGCCCAAAAGAGCCAAACCGCATCGGGCTAATTTCATCTCCCGGCTCTAAGATTTAGCATAAATTAAATAACCGGCTCGTCATGATTCCAACGAAGAAAAGCCCGGAAAAAGCCCCATATGGCAACTCTGACGAACCTCTCGTCGAACCCCTTTTCGGGCTCGTCGACTTCCGACCTCCCTCGCCTTATCAATCTCGCACAATTGAAACTACAAGAAATCGGATTCCCCGGCCGCAAACGAAGTTCCGAACAACCCGGCGGTATACGTTGCTCGTGATTGGTCGGAAATCCCATTCCTCCCATTTTGCTCTCGTTATACCTCGAGCCGAGCAACGAGCTCGCCCTTGGCCGCGCGAATCTCCTATCGCGTAATGCAGTTTCGCATCCTGGAACAATGGATCCTCGGAATACGATGCGCCGTAATGCCGGGGAATTTCGTCGATTATTCTCGTGACTTTCGCGAGATCGCCGATCCCCGTCTATGCCGATCGAGTATCCAAATAATCAAGTGGAAATGGTACGGTCAGACACGGACGTTGCTTCTACTTCTCCCCAGTAGAACCAGTAAAACCAGTAAAACCGTATCTACTTCCTCGAGGGAACTAATAGCAAGCATTCTTCGAATCAAATAAATCTTCAAGAACTCAAATCGGATTAAAAGAATTCCTATCAATCTTAATGGAGTACAGAGTGTTCTTCAAAGATATTAAATGACAAAATTTGAAATTCGGAATACAAGGCGCACCTCTCTCGGTGCACTTAGAAAAAAGACTAGTTGACTGAAATGATATGAATCATGTATAATTGCGAAAAACAATTATGTTGTTGAGAAGACAAAATGATATCGATGTAGCAGTGATCTGGTAGCAGTGCATATAGTTCTTTCAGTCAACCGAATTTCTTTTTTTTTTCCCCAGGGTGGGAGCATAGGCGTTGAAAATCGAGATAGGGCAGCTCGGACGGAACGATCGAGCTCTCGCGATCTCGAAATCGAATTAATCCGTATCTGGGTCAAGAGCGTCGAGTATCGGGAGACTTGGGATCCGACGAGCAACGTTTAATTATCGTCGTCGCATTAGTCGATTAAACGCGACGATCGTCGCCAGCCGCTGCACCGAGCTCGGCACCAAAATGAGGGTTTGGCTCCAAAATCGAGGGATATCTCGATCGATAGGAGGAAGAGTCGAAACGGCGAATTAGCCGCCGCCGTCAATGGGGCGCCAAGTCGGGCGTCGTTCGCAAGCCCGGGAAAGGACGTAATCCCCGGGACCGATTATCGGCTTATCAACGTCCAGGTGAGAGTTGGACGAGTCCACCCTCGAGAATCACCTGATAGGTCGTCGCCGTTCGGGAAGTCCGTCCGATACGTGCAGTCGGTTCCGCGACGTCCACTGGTTCCAGAATCATGCCGGCTCTCGGATGGCAAATCCGACTTCACGGCCGTTCCAAAATTACTGCTCGTTCTAAATGTGGTTCCGGGATGAGTGGCCGCCACCGCGCGTCTCCTTTCGGCCGACTCTCTCCTCCGGAGAGTCGACCTCCTCCTCTCGCTCATCCTCCCCGGGAAGTTCCTCGCACCACGGGCGACTTCCTCGCGTAGATTTTCCTCGACGAGCCAGAAACCCGCCGAGAGGGCGAGCTCTCGCGAGACACTAAGTCGAGAACGCGTCAACCACTAGAAATACCGGGATGGAAGTGGCCTTACGTCGACAGTGGGTGCGCGACTGCAGCTGCAGCTGCCGGTGGTAGGTGCATCTCGAGGTGCGGACGAAGGTGCAGCCGAGTTGGCAGCCCTCCGCGATCGGGAAATACTGGCAGGGCCTGGTCCCTCCTCCCAGAAACCACTCTCGAGGTTTGTTTTGCCTCGGAACCTCCGTCGAGTTAGAATAAATAAATATAAGTGGCTCCTCGCGTTTCTTCTCCCGCGTCGACGCCGCCACATTCCCCAGATAAGGGTGTTCCTCAGTTGATCTCCTCCCCGCGATAATTCCGTTAATTGAAACCCGCGAATTTATCTCGTCCTCCATGGGGTTATCTCTCCCCTGGAGCTCGCTATCAATGGGTTAGTTAATCACCCGGTTAATATGGCTCCGATATCGCCATAATAATTTATTCGTATCTCCTCGGCCTATATTCGTCCCCGGAATCTCCTGGACGGGGCTCGACCGTGTCTGCCGGGTTATCACGAAAAACATACGCCCGGGTAGCCCACTGCTCCAATTACATAATGGGATCAACGACGTCGGGACTCCGGGCTTCCTGAATGGAAACGATAATTTCGCTAGCCTTGGCCCGGTGTTTATTGCGATAATGCGGGCACTTACGCACACTTGTGGTCACGCGTTTCCGGCGAGATACGTAGGATCTTTTGAGTACTTTTTTTTCTTTCTTTTTTTTTTTTAACGAGCCGGTATATTTTTTCCAAAGGGTCTTCGCTCTGTCCGGCGGGGGCTGCGCGGCGAGGGACTCGGTCGAAAGAACCGGTGGCATTTTCAATTTGGATGCGGCGCGTTTATCGCGCATCCATCGCCCCCGGCTTGCATAGGAGGGGTTTGATGTCCGCGATCAAAACCGCGCCGGCAGGGAATGGATTTGCAGGACGGATGCGCGAGCTCTAAAACCCCGAGTTAACGGCCCGCCGCGCGGCCTACGAGCGTTTACGCCGGGTGCTTTAAACCCGCGGAATATTTATTTAAGAAACTATGGCCGGGAGATGTATATCGCGCGGGCGGCTCGAATATTTTATGACAAATGAGATTTATCGCGGGGGACGGACGCGAGTCAGAGGGTTATGTCTCCTCTCGAGCCTCCCTGGCCACCAGCCGCCCTTTAAACGCATTCATAACCTCGGAAAAAATAAAACGGAAACTAATTCCCTACCTCTCTTCGGGTTATCCACGGTTATCGTGGACTGCTCGACGAACGTCTGCATCGGCGCGAAAGGGGAAATAAAAAAAAAAAAAGGATTTATTTCCGGATGATGATTCCTTCCCATTTTCCATTCTTCGCGTCGACAAGGAGGTTTTACAGATCTTTTTTCACGGCTCAGCCGAGGCTCTGAGGGAAATCTTGAAGAGCATGAAAAATAAACAGGGGGAAATGAATAATCCCAGCCAGGACATTTTTGTTCAGCCGGCCGAAACGTAATTAACGGCTCATACAACCGATTGGCTACGGATTCATTTGACTAAGTAATACAAGTTTAATTAGCGAGCCGAATTGGGTGGATGGTGCCTGTACACACGTATATATATATTAATATACACCTGCAGAAATGTACAGCTTGATTCGTGTACTTCTGCTGCCGTATATATTTGCGGGAAAATCCGCATTTCCGCCCCGCTCGAAATTACTCCTCGAGCGATTAAACTCGGAAAAAGGGCAAGAAACCGTGGAAAATAAAAAATCAGAGAGCACGAAAGGGCATTATTCATGCGAGAAATGGAGTTGCCCGAGTCGCGCGTGTCGGCGAGCGATTCGCGAATAATTCCGGGCTCCGCGTGAGGGGGGGAAAAAAATAGGAGAAAAAAAAAATATACAAAATAGAAGGGAGAAAAAGTCGAAAAACAAACAGTCATCCAGATTATTGGGGAAAAATTGCGCACGAAAGCGGAAACCGCCTCTCCCCTTCCCCTCCCCCCCCGCGCGAGCGCGGCAGAATTCGCGCGCGCTTGCTAAATTCTCCAATAATTCCGCGAATCCTCTTCGTCGTTCTATCGGGGATTTTTTGAACGGGGGACCACAGTCTCTTGCTCGAAAATCACGGGATACCGCGTCAACGTTTGCCACGCTCCATTACGAACATTTAGAAAAGAAATAAACCTGTCCCGTTCCATAATTGTCGACGACTTTCACACTCGTAGGCATAGACTGGACGCAAGTGCTTACCGGGGTTTCGTTAATGGGCCCTTCGAAAGTGGGTGACGAGAAAAGGGCCGGTCTTTGTTTTTTTCCCCTACAGGGAGGGTGCATTCGAATTAAATTCGGCGGTATGATTATCCTGGCACGCGCGCAAACGCGGGATGCTTAAACGAGCAGGGCGAATATATTTTTCCCTTTGATACTTTTTAATTCCGGAAATTGGATTAGGTGCCGCGACGGAGCGAAATGGGTTCCTCCTCTCTTGGCACATCCTCTCCTCTCCCCCCCGTTCCGAGTCTCTTTCCCGCTCACTGGTATGCTAATTACCGGGATGAATAAATTGCACGACCCACGGTCGTAAACTCGCGGCTCCGCGACCCCCCCTCGCGGACCGGCGGCGCACTGCATGTCGGATAATCAAAAGAAAATTCCGACACTCGCGTCGGGATTTTTCGATTCCCCTCCCCCCCCCCCCCCCCATGTACAAAGGGTGTTCCATGTGAGTCACGTGTGCGCTCATGTCCCTCTCTCTCGGTCCCCTTTCCCCCCCCCCCCCCCACGAGGAGGAGGGGGCGCTTTGCGTGGTCCACCAGGGTCCACACGTTTTTTACACGCAAACCGTGGAAACAGCGCGAAAAGGGAGGAAAACTTCGAGCCGACGGGGGGAAAACGGAAGGAGATAAAACCCATCTACAAAGCGCGCAAACCTCGCGGGGGGTTCGCCTGGGAATTAATTTGAAAAAAAAAAAAGAAAAAAAAATACCCGAGCGACCGGAAATGCGTTCTGGCGGAATCGAGGCAAGTGGAACATTCCCGTGTAATTACCGAGACAAAATTCGGGAGGGGGTCGAATTCGAGCGGATATCAATTTTTGAGATTATCAGGTGAACTCCCCGGCCTTGCGGGGTATACCTCGATGCCGTTGCGGAAATCGATTTTGAATCTCGAGGCCCGCGGCGTCCTTTATTCCCCGCCTTTCCGCGTGGATTAATTCCCAACAACGGAGTTTCCTCAAATGCGTTCGTCCCGTCCGAGAACTCCCTGCCTGCCGGGACTTTGAAAAGCCTCTTCCGCTTTATTTCCGCGCGTTAAGGGAGGGGGGGGGGAGGAGGAGGACTTTTCCGCGACAACGAAGTGACGGTCCAGCGGACTCGCGCGTCCGCGCGCGTAATTACAATCTTTCCGCGCGCGTTTCCGCGGGGATTCGTTCCTTCTGCCCTTTCCTTCCGTTTTTCCCCGCATCCTCCCCCCCTTTAATCCCTGCCTTTTTCCCTTTGCGCGGCCGGGCAAATGAAGAGAAATCCTTGATTATCCCGGCGGTTCTTTGATCGCTGCCCAGCGGTAAAGAGAGTGCGAGGAATAATGTGGAACGTGAATTCCGAAAGGCGCCTCGTATGCGTTTTCCCTCCCCCAAAGAACTCGGAGAAGCCGCGCGACGATTGGGCTGATTTATTTCCAATTTATGTTCTCAGTGCTTTTTAAATAAAAAAAGGTAAATAAATAAAAAGAGAAGAAAGCGAATAATCCAGAACACCTCACGGTACGTACTTTCACTTGCGATAAGACTTGCTTGAATAACTCGTAGCTTACAAGTGGCCGATATAAGGGCATGAATAATGTAAGAATTCAGCTGAGTTATTGACATTAATGGGCCCACGAATAATTAGCCTTGCCGACCAATCACTAGGTTTCGTTTCAGTGACGGGTTCAAAGTTCAAAGTCCCTCCTCTAGCCTGAGACAATGGTTCGGCTTTACTCGACGTAGGTGACGGCTAACGAGAATCGAATGGTTCCAAAAAGTGCTGCACCGGTGGAGGTTCCACTTTACGTCCCGATTGATTCCGCAGTCCCTTGCGACCTATAAGTATTCCAGCATGTATCTCTGAACGAGCCGTTCCGTAGTCATGATTTGTTCGCGCGACAGGGCGAAGTTCAGTCGAAAAAACAGTACCGAGCGAGACTATCGAGCACGGGATCGTCAACATTGCCGATTGTTCGACGCTTAGTCTCCTTGGAGTTCCGTGCCCCGAGGTTCAAAGTTCCCTCTCCAGTCGGGCGGAGGCGCGCGCAACGGCCGCCAGGAGGCAGCACGTGCAGGGGCGCCGAGCCAACGGTCGCCCGATGACAGAATCTCGCCTTTCACGGAAACGTCATTTATGCGCGCCGTGCGTAAGCCTTTATTTATGAACACCCGGTGACGCAAACCCTGGACAGGTTACGCTGCGCCGATACGCCAGGGCGACGCCTCCACGGAGTAACCTCTAACCTCACCGCGAATTACTCGGCGCTTTTCCCGAGGATTCGTTTAGAAGCTCGATAATTGCCCTATCTGGGAAGAAACGGCACTCGACAAGGTCGATGGACCGAATCGCCGTCAGGCTGTCCTCGAGACCTCTTTGACAGGTGCCTGTCAGAGGGTCCTGTCACGGAGCCGAAGACGTAACGGTCCCTTCTCCCAGTTTTTGAGGTTAACCCGTCGCATCTAGGGGACGTTACGCGGAAAAAGAAGGCCTCGGTGATTTTCTACTGAGCTGCGCCGGGACCCGGGTGGGAGGGGGGGGGGGGGGTGCGAAATGTCCAGGACAGAAGATACGGGAGGCGGCGCGAGCACCGCTGCAGCTGGCACTCGGAACACATGCACTGCGGCCCAAAAGCGCGTCCGCCATTTTCCCTCGGCGCGCCGCACTCCCTCGAGACCGCGGGATGTCGCGGGGGCCTCGAATCTCGTGATCCTCCCGAGAAAATGTAAGAAAAACTCACCCGCATTCACACCTCTGTGGTCGCCACTCTGTTTACGTTGTCTGATCTCCGCCATGTTGGGCTGCGAATGACGCCATATCCGGGAGGTGTGC